CCTTCCTCCCTTGGCCAACTACACGTGTGAATCCTACGCCGCCCGAAGCCACGCCGTCTGAAACCACGCCACACGAGGTCACAGAGAATACTCAAACGCACACCGACGTAGGACTTACAGACTTCAAACTGTCGACAGCGAAAACATCTCCCCCTCTTCCCTACACGCCGCACCCAACGTCTTCAACACGTTGGCGCCTGCATACATCGGAGGAGGGAACATCGAGGTGACTAATCACACTCCGCCCCTACCCCAAGGACCAAAGAAACCCTAAACATAACAGACCGCTCTATTGTCCATGCCATTGTACCGGCCGGAGGATGAATGACTGAAAAGAATTGTTCGCCAATATGGTTCTTCAAACGCAAAATGGGAATTTTTGCTGACATTCAGAGTTGAAATAGGTGAATTCATCAACAATCTTCAAGGTCTTGCCCTTTTTGCAAGCTGGCAGGAATTACAGACTATGGTTTGCGCACAACCTGTACTAACGATATAGACTCTAGATATTAAAAATATCTGAAACAGGTCGTTTCTTTCTCCAGATCGTAGAAAGAGCTGAGTTCTCTCAAGACCTTCGAAAATAAGGGCTTTAGTTGGAATTGAGTCCCACTGGCGTGTACAGTCCGCCTACCTCACATGTCACCAGCACAACTGAATCGGCCACTAAGCAGCACCGTCCTCCAATGCCCAAGAAGAGGCGCCATGTGATGCCATGATAAGGAGTGAATGTGGTAGTGTTTTGAATGTAAAAGTGACACTGCGTTATCAGAGCGACAAGATCAGCCTCACATAGGGTTCGCGCGAAACGTCCCATAATAGTAACAGTCTGCGTCCACATAATCACTTACTACTTATCAGCCAGTCTCATAGTCCTTGAAAGACAACTCAGCCGGATGGCCGGATTTAGAACTTAGCAAAAATATTAAGCGAGCAAAACAATGACGATAATGGCTGCATTACCTGGCTGGGACTATTGAACAGACACTAGCGTTGCATGACCAGAAGGTATTTTTTGCAAGGCAACCGTTTTATAGCCGAATACACCTTTCGAAGTTGAGAAATGTACTCGTTTGCTGGAAAAAGAACTCTGTTCACTTGGCTCTGTTACGCTTGACCTAATCAGCTTAGATAACAACAGGCAAAAGTGCCAAATGAATTATAGCCGACTAGCAAATGGACATTCGCCCCATAAGTTCATGGTCTTAACTGCTCAGGTACTTCTACTCGGAGGGACGACTAAACATTTCGCAGTCAGAGGGTGCAAGCTAGATCCTCGAATTTGCAAAATTGCTATGGCTGTGGAGTTTCATTTCAATCCACCCTCAACGCAAACTTGCCTACTGAATGGTCTCTCAAGGATATAAGTAGAAAGCAACTTACGAAAAAGTAAAAAAAAAACTGGAG